CTTTTATAGATAATTATTTTGTTCTCAAGAGTCGTTACTTGCGGCTCCTTTGGGCGAAAACTGCGCTGCGGTTCAATGAGACGAGGGTTGCTGAGAGTCGTCGTAGATTTGTTTGTAATTTCGAAGTGCTTTTTGAGCAAAGATCTAGCTTCGAACACGAACAAAGCCTTCAGTGACAAACTGGGTGAAGCTCGGGAGTGCGTTGTTTATTTGGTAAACAAACCCTTTATTCCGTAATGGGAGCAACCAAAGCTAAGAAAGTCGTGAATGAGCCGGTACAATTTTTTTTCAATCAGCGTTTGACAATTTTAATGTATCGATGTAATCGCAACATGGCTGAAATGATGGTATCCAAACATCGTAAAATAATCACGTTCGAGCACCGCGTACAAACCACCGATTGCACCACTGGTGTGGAGCACACCAGTGGTGCAATCGGTGGTTTGTACGCCTTGCTGTTCACAGGAGGAGAAATGGGAGGAAAGTGTCTCGGGGCTTTTTCCTCCCATTTCTGACCATTTCAAGCATGCAATCGTAGATTTATCTCCCCTTTCTTAGTATTTTCTGCCACAGCCACAGACGTGGCGAAATATGTTTGTTTGACGTAAATCTGGATGAGTGACTTTATACGTTGAACCGAAATATGCCGACGCCTTCAGGCTAAACTGTGCTTCTAATGTAGAAAGAAGTGCACAATGAGATTAGCTGGTCATGCAGTGTGCCGGTACGGAGATTGCAGCTATGGATACTGTTTCACAGGAAAATATGTTTTGTTTTGCTGCAGTTTGTGTCATCAGACATTGCTGCACATCATACCTACGACAGACGGTGGTGCCTGCCGTGTGCTGAGACTTTCCAAGGTGACCTGGGCAGTTACCGTACTTGTGAGCACGGGTGCTTCCATAACCTTGCCAAGGTAACCTCTAGACTTGGGCAAGTATCGCCTCATATGCAATGCCAAAACTTCCCTTTGCGAGGAAGGTCATAACCAAGCTGCACCAGAGCCTGCCTGGCTACCCCTAGCGTGACATATAGCAGCATCACTATAAGCGGCATTCCGTGTTTCCAGAATTAATCCTTTGTCGATCATAATCTAGAGAACCCGAGACTGATAAAAGCAGGGAAACAATGTCGGAGATGAAAGACGGGAAAAGAATGTAATCCTGTGCGGCATTGGAGGGTGTTTTCTGGAGTTTACCTTTGTGGAAAATTTGATGTTTCTCAGAGCTTGTTTTGATTAAATTCTCAGTTTTTCAGAATAATTTAGATATTAAATTTGCTTGCTGAGTTTCTCGATTCGCAGAAAGTCAAAAGAAACAGAAAAAATAACCAGACACAAGTGTATTAATAATTTATAGTCTCAATGATTGCGGAAGGAGTTGCCTGTGCCTAGACGAGGTTTCTTGAGCTGAATATGGCGGTGTGACTCTAGATCCTCTACAACTCGCAGTACACCCCAGTTAATACCAACTCTCCCACGACAAAACTTGCAAACCAGGGTTACTTATCCTACCTAGTTTGGCGCAGTATGGCCGTCGGAGCTCTTGCACCATAAAACCCGTAAACAACAACAGGGTTACTTATCCAGGTGTCGGTACATTAAGCTATCAGTCTCCTCGATTCGGTCACTGAGAAACTTTGTTTTACCCACCTTTTTAAAGGCTCCCTGACATACTTGCTACTCACAGCCGTAGGTGCCACGGGAACGTGCCATGCTGCATGGCTGTGCGGGGTGAAGTGTGAAATCTAGAAAGTTCCGCCGCCTTCGCTCGTCCCACAAAATCTGCGGGCTAATGGCTTCCTTCATGATAGAAACTGTACCCCTCTTCACGTTACGAAGCCCAAATGGTTTGTTCGAAACTCTTGTTTGTTTGGAGCATGGCTAGCACAACCACATCAGAGAACAGAATGGAACATATTTCTTTCGTGCTGCTGAGCTATTGTTGGGGTTCGGCAGGCTTTATTTGTTGCCATCGAAATTCTTCTAATCAGTTGGAAACAAGTTCTACTGCCAAAACCCAACCCCTCCCCACCCCGACGTCACAAATACTGATGTCACATAGACAAGGGGAACACGACTACAACATAAACAGAATCACTTCTGGACACTAAGGCATACATTGCCAAGATTGCAGATGTCAAGCAGAACTAAAAACATTGCCCCGTAATGAGTAAAAATAATAACCAACTAATTAGGGAAGTTATTGAAGCTGAAAAGATTTCGAGGTTAGAAGAAAACTGTCACTAAACCTTGTCCAGATTTATTACAAAAAAGAATTAGATAATCTTGCATCCAGATAAAACCAAAAATAACAACAAAAAAAAATCTTATTGTTTAAAAAGACAGGCGCAGGCAGAGAAGAAATAATACAAGTCTGAGTTGCAAGTCAGAGCTTCATGAATGTCTTCTCCTTTTGTGTGTGCCTGTGCTTGGTTGCGAATTTTTCGCGCTGTAGAGGAGCATGCAACACCAGCTTGCCCGAGCCTCCATATTTTTAATACTGCCAGTAGAAACTTTCACTTTGAAAATATGATGAGGACCGAATTTGAAAATTAAATGTCGCCAAACAATTTTTTGCGGACGTAAGGTTTTGGTTACGAGGTCAGTCAAAGCTACTGGTGTGTTTAGCCAATTTTGAGGCAAATTTGTGACCTTGAAAAAAATTGCAGGTATAGTGTTACATTCTCTTTAGCCTCCTGAAGATGTAAATCACTGGATTGAACCCCTACCATATTGTTTTGTCTCATAACTGATGCAGGTATCTTCTTTTTTTCTTCAACTCAGTTCGACGTAGGAGCTGCCAAGGCGTCCTGTGCCTTTCACGTGAACAGTGGCCAGCACTGGAAGAAGCAATCTTTGGACTGCTGTAATCCATTCTTTGGGCAAGTGAATAAATTTCTTTCAAGCAGAGACCTGGTGTTTGCACAGCAGCTCCACAGAACAAACAACACAAACACAAATGTTTCTTTGCCCAAAGCCTTCGTAGCTGCTTGAGCTTATTGATCTGAGCTTGCACGTTGCAATGTTAAGGCAAGATGCAGATATAGTTAACGTCTCTCTAAAAAAATTGGGGGCACCTTATGCTTGGATGTCTAGCTTGATCAACTTGGAACGTCCAGCCGAATTGAAGCAAGGATCTAGCCGAACTGAAGCATGCAGCCGAATTGAAACTTGTAGCCGAAGTGAAGATTTAGCCAAACTGAAGCGTCCAGCCGAATTGAAACTTCTAGCCGAATTGAGGATGTAGCCGAACTGGAACGTCCAGCCGAATTGAAACGTCTAGCCGAATTGAGGCAATAGCCGAATTGAGGCATCAGCCGGATTGGGACGTAACCTCCCCCCACCTACGTCTCCCTCCCAACTCATCCCTCCCTCTCCCCCCATTCTTCTACGGTGGTGACGGTGGCCTCCCTCGCCCTTCCTTCTTTTCCCTTCCTCCTCACCCTTAGTCATGTGACAGAACAATTCATTCACCCCTTCCCAGTTGTTGCCCCGGTGACTCGACACTCCAATCCACCCTATTGTCCTGATGTGGCGTCACCTACCTGATTGTGACTGCGTTCGAGGATTTCTTGGGTAATACACGGGCGCCATTATACTTGATCTCTGCACGTTGCTAGGTTTGTTTTCCAGCACGTTTGCTTTCTTTTGAGTTTTTGTTGCTCCGCTATTTTTCGGTGACAACTGAGGATCTCTAAAGACGTCCCCCATTTTCAGCCCAACGGTTGGGTGGAGAAATTATCTCAGTTCGTGCGCCTTTTGCAAGACAAAGTGTGGCGATACTTCCTCTACAAGGCGGACTCGCTCTGACAGGCCCACCAATGACGGGCTTTAAATAAAGAGGGTTACGTCTGAAAAGTTAAGCTGAACACCTCAGATGGTTCTTAGATACTCCTCGTCCGAAGTGTCTGCCTTCCGTCGATGAAGAAGGCGCCGTACACGGTATCGGCGTGCTTCTTGAGAAGCACCGGGAGCTTCATGGGCGGCACTGGTAGGCTGTCACTTCCTGCATTTAGTGCTCGCACGATCTTTCTATCGCTTGAGGCACTCGATAGTGTCGTTGTTTTGTGTCAACGAACACAGTCGGTACAAAATATCTAGGTGCTGTTTGTTCAGCGATAGTTTTCCTGTTTAATAAAGCGGCAATGATTCAACTTTATTTTCTGAGATGCGGTTAGAGCAACTGACTTGTGACGATGTGACGTCCGCATACTGTGAACGATCATGATGTTAAAATTCTGAAAATGAGAAGGAAACTTGAAAGAAAATTCGTAAGAAGACGCAAAAAAAGTGTACAGGACAAACGTATCAAACTCAAATTTGACAAATTTTTACTGTAAACGACTTTATTTTTTTCGGTCTCGATATTTCGTAAATTTTGGGGTATATATTCGCGGGCAGAATATTCTGCGGTTAGGAGCTCGTTTGCTATGTATTCTTTACAACAAGGTAATATATTCGTGGTAAAATATAAACCGAGATATTGGAGAAAATTATGTTGTCTACAGTAGTCGGGAGTCCTCATTTGGCTCACAAGTCTTTGAGGGCCTGACGTGTCAACATCTTCGCCGCACGAACCCGCGCCGCTCTTCCATCAAGGTCCAAATTCTCCAAAAGAAACCAATAAAAAGACTCGTCTACTCCCCAGGATGGTGCCGGCTTTGACATCCACACCCATTGCAGTGATTTGGCCTCACTCAAGCGTACCGGAAATCACAAGGCGCCGCTCATGTCAAGCATAATTGCAGCCTTGTCCCCTCCCTCTCCCCGGGCCTAATCCGGCGTGGCAACACGTCCTTCGTGTAATCCCAAACTGGCAAGCCGGAAAAGGGTGGATTTAGCTTCCCCAATATTTAAAATAATGTTTCGTTTAAGTTTTTTACTTGGGGAAACAATTAACCCATCACCGGTAACGATAAAGCTTTTGAATGTAGTGTTGATGTAATATTCAGTGTCTTTAACATTATCTAGCCGTAGCCAAGCTTCCTCGAGATCCCACCTGTAGATGCTGGAGATGATCCAATTGTAGATTCCTCATTACGTTGAATACTTGGATCGACGATATGAGCACGCTGAGTACGAAGATGTGTACGCTCACGGCGGTCGACGAACTTGTACCAAAGGAACCCTGGGTGTCTACCAAAAGGACTGCCACCTTTTTCTTATCTGCGGTGGTGGCCCTGAACAGGTGACTCCAAAACACGATGCCCTCGGTGTGTGGGTCACTACCGGACATCCAGGGAAAGCCTTCCAGTGGCTTATCCGGATCGCCCAGCCAGTCCTCGAATTGGAGGAAAGGAAACCTGGAAAGGCAAAAGAGTAATAGATCGTAAGTAGATTGTTCCGATAACTCCGATAACGATACAATGCACGCGCAACGACATAAACGGAAAATCGGGTATCCTTATCAGGGTTGTCAGAACGATCTAGTAAGACTCCTTATGAGAAGGCGTTGTTGAGGTGTCCGATATGACATTGTGATTTCGCCGACTACCTGAGTTACGTATCCACCAACTCATGTTTACAAACAAACCGGAGCGCCCCTAGCGGACGCCACCGGCATCGCGCATGCGCGATGGGGGCGTGTGCAAGAAGCTCGCCGCAGCCCATAAACAAACCATTGAAGTGCGATGTTGTCGGCCTCGGTGTGAGTCCCCCTGCCCTTCTTCGCGTTCGAATCGTTAAACCTACGTCTTCCTGGCGATGTCTGACTACTTGAGCGGCGTCAGCGAAATAACCGAGGCTCGTTACACCACAAAACTTCGCATGAATAATGTGACATGTGGCGATTCATTTCGCGTGGACGCCGCAGTATGAACGCTAAATCCTGATTCGTATGATGCGATTTCGCTCCCAATTTTCAGTTGCGACGCCGCTCGGGCTGCAAAAGCGTGAACCGTAGCTGAGATGGTCGACGTCGATACTGAAAATCGCAAGCAGTATTGGACCAAGTGAATTAGGGATAACAAGTTGGTGATGGTCACTGGTAACAATGAGCAACATCTCCTTGTATCTACTGTTTACAGCGAGCCTGCTTACCAACCTTCAAATTGAAGTCTTTTGAGGCCTGCACTTCCTTCTTATCGCAAGTAGCGGGTCAACATTTGGTCTATGGGCCGGCGTTGTCTAAGAGAGCAGACGACAAGCAGAAACGTTTGAAAGAGCAGACGACAGTTCGAACGATCAAGCGGCCGTTTGAACTTGAAGATGCACTGAACGTAGTCCGCAGGTGGTCCGCACAACTTGAAGGTTTTCTGGCGTTCATGTTGGAACAAAACAAATAAATTTGATGACCAAAAATATCCGTGAATTCAACCCAAAGCGCTTCCCGCCCAAGCAATCGTTGTCCGACGGCGTCTGCTTTTCCCTTTTCGCGGCACATATCCAGATTCTCGGACGAACCGAGCATGTGAAAAACTGACCTTCAAACCTTTCTCGACACTTTCGGTACGGCTCCAGTCGCGGCATTTTGACGAGAAGGCAGGTTTTTGTCTGGTTCCTTTCAGAACAACGCAGGAATACACGTCTGGCATGGGGACTTCTGCCCACAGCCCCAGACCGGAAGCGCGGCCGACGCGCCGTGACGTCACAGCATTCACTTCGTGTATACAGGTTTGCAAGTACGGTCACAGGGCGCCGACATCTTGCTCAGTCGGGGTGCGCTCGGGCGCGGGTCATAATCAGATTACGACGCCTTGCTAAGGCGTTGTAATCGGATTATGACCCGCGCCCAAGAGCACCAAACTGGTCAAGATGGTGGCGCTCTGAGCCCGTAATTGAAAACGTGTATTGTGGCAATAACTTGGTTGAAACCAGAGGTATAAGGATAAAGTGAAGTGCCACCAAGATTCATTTTTGACAAAAAAAAAATGGAGGGCAACATATTGATGGTCAAGGCAAATTGGTAGGAACCACAGGGGTGATTATTTGTGAATTCTATAGCATTTATCGTTTCACACTACCTAGAGGGCGACCCCTAGGAAAACCTCAAGGACGACGTCGACATCCTCAGGACTTCCGAAGAGGGTGCGAATTTAGAGTGCGTACTGCGGCTCCGAGTACGCGCGGCGCAATGGTGTCCAATCACAGTCAGTTGAAATGGCCTACTGCGCATACATACTGCGCATTCGCAGGCCCCCCCCCCCCCCCCCCCGCCTCCAGCATATACATAGATCTAAATCTTTAGTAGCTTATTAATGCTACCGCATTAAAAATATTCCTCTTTTGGGACGTTGATAGGATATTGCAAATTTAATATTTTCATTTTGCTCTGAAGGCTGTATCCTTTCAAACTATGCTTGTTTTAAATGCTCTGCTCAAGATACTGTATTTCAAATACTTTTGCTAGTAGTTTGTACCTTATATTCAGTCTAAAGCATCTCTACTCTATCTCAATTACATTTCTCCCAATCTTGTAACCAGAATCTCAAATATATTTTGCGACCTTGGAAAGAAATATTGCCGGAAGAATCTACGGAATTAGTGATCGTCATACGCCACGGTAAAGCTGAAGCGATTGCAAAGTTGGAGCCAAGTGGCCGAACACATACCAGGAAACAATTCATGAGAAAAACGCAGACTTGAAATGCAAATAAACGACCAAAGGATAGCCGCAAGTACGCCGCCCTCTATGTAGAAACAAATGACCCCGGAAAAACAGTCACGGGACAAAATGTCCTCGGTAAAAAAGGCCCCAGGTGGAAAGTAGGAAAAAATGTCCCCAGAAGATTCTCCATCTCTGGGCTTCCCTGATCCTCGTGGCCTTCGGGCGGTCCGCTCGGGAACGCGACAGAACAGCACACGACAAAACAACACGCGATAAAACTGCACGCGTCAAAAGAGCACGCGTCAAGATAGCACGCGACAAAGCAACACAGCGTCAAAACGGCACAAAGACAGAAGACTACGTGCCAAAACAGCACGGCATCAAAACAGCAGAGCGACAAAACAGCAGGCATGTTTCAACTACGAACGCGCTTTTCAACTCTCTCTGCGCGAATAATTTTTCATTTGTTGTCGCTAGGTTATAAGGGAATGTATTGCATATTTCAGCGCTTACCAGACTCCGGAACTCGGAGACCCCCCCCCCCCCCCCCCCCCCCTAAAAAAAAAAATATAAAATATCGGTAAGAAGCCGAAAGACGGTCGCTCGGGAACCATTAAAAGCATGCTTTATAAAAAAAAAAAGTGCGACGGCATGTGTCAGCGACACGGCTATTGTACTTCATAGTAATGAATTTAGTTTTTGAATGATCGAGTACAAAAATAATCAACTTTTATGTGGTGCTGGTTAGCCTGTCGTGTATATATTGTGGGCACCCTGGCGGCTCCCCAGCCCAATTGCCCGACTGCGAGGCAAAGTTGCCAAACATTTCCCGAGTGGCGGCGACGTCACGCCAGCCACGCGCGCATCGCGTGCGCCGCCTTGATAAGGCGCGTCAGAGGCGGCGCACAGGGGAGTCGCGGCCTGGACTCAGGCTCCGCTGGTAACCATGTTAATTGTCTCATCCATGTCTTATTAAATGTAGTTTCTTGTGCTGAAACCGTTTTATAATTCCTGTAAGTGTAAATGTGTGCAACTGAACTTCGCGCTGGTGCGTACAAAAACTCGAGTGTTTTGGGTGAACATTGGTGACAATCCAGCACGCACTTTCAGTCTCTTAGTTTTAGTGTCATATTAGAAACTGCGGCATTCTCTTAAATATTGATTCTGCCCTCACAGTGTTACCGCGAGTGCATATATATATATATATATATATATATATATATATATATCAGTGTGTCGAACCGAAGAAAATACGGGTTCGGTTACGGTTCAGGTTCAGGTAAATTTATTTTGTTCCGGTTCAGTTCCGGTTCGACTAATTCGATCCGCGAACCAGTTCAGAAATTATAAATGACAAATTGCCACATCAAAATAAATTACAAATAAAACATCTGAAATCAGCACATACGAAACGGAATACATCGTAGTGTAAGGCTCAGGGATTTCTACCAGGAATGGTTTCTTTATGTGCACTCAAAGGTTACCTCACCGACGTTTACCCATTCGGACTTCATCTAATTGGGTCCGACGCAGTAGCTGTAAAATCCGCGACCTCCTTACAAACCCACTTACAAGTAGGACTCGCTAACTATCCCGCCACCTCGGCGTGTAAGCAATTGAAGGAACAGTGGGGAGAAAATACAACTTTCTTTATTTGAACTAGCCTTCGGTAACTCGAATTAGACCCTTAAAGAAGTTTTCATGAAACAAGATACGGAATATAAAAAACACTTCACCGAACGCAACGCCAGAAGGACGTAATAGGATAAATATTAAAATAGAAGAGTTCGCCGTCTCACAAATGTTAGCTTCTAAGTGCCTATACGAAACCGGATGCATTATTATCAAACTCCACAGCCTTTTCTTTTCTCATTCCGATGGAAGCAAGCTTCAAGAACTCGCGCGTTCTAGAAACATGTTATGAAATGAGCATACAGCAGCATTTAGGATTTACGAGATTGTAGGAAAATAAAATCCCGTGACGCGATTTTTTTTTTTTTTTTTTTGCACATCTTTCCAATTCTTTTTCTTCCGTGCAAGCCTCGACCAGCGCAATACCTGTTCCTATGTCAAGATTCATGGATGCAGCGTTTGTCAAGATTCATGGATGCAGCGTTTATGTTCCTAAGACTGAGTGGAGAAGAAAAATATGTAAGCGAGGTGTGTGTCAGTGGACGGCACTTAAAAAACAAATGGCATTGATAGCACATTCATTGTCAACAGCGCGTGGCCGAACCGTTTTGACATGAGCCGGTAACCGTTATTTTTTTTCCGGTTCAGTTCCGGTTCGGGTTCATCGCGATAACAATATAACGGTTCGGGTTCGGGTTCAGTTCCGGAAAAAATACCGGTTCGGTTCCGGTTTTCGGTTCGGTTCGGTTCCGGTTCGATACCCTGATATATATATATATACATACATATATATACAGGGTGTTTCAGAGAACGCAGCCCAAATTGCTCCTACGAAAACTACTCATTGCAACGAAAAAAGGCTGGTGGCATTTTGGTCCTGGGCCAGGGGCCTATTTAGGGAAACTATTAAAGTCCGGGATAATTAAGTTGTTAATTATTTTTGCGTAATTAACTTTTTTAATATTGTGTTTAAGAGTATGGTTTAAATTAGAAAATTGCTCAGCATCATCGAAAAACACTAAATCAACAAATTGCAGAACGATAGAAGGCACGCGAAGCATTTTACAGCTTTTTGAAAAACCGCACAAAATCGACGGGTTTTTAAGTTTCGGTTTGCTATCAGAG